GGCTATTGTGGAAACATTTTTTTAACGTGAGACGTTGAGTAATTTTATTTTTTCTTTCTTCCTCCCTCCCTTCCTGTCTGTCTGCCTTTCTTTCTGACGAGGGGGTGATAGACCAAATCAGAGGAGCCCCAGTAGCCTAGTGGGGTACACAAGGTCAGCAGTTCAGAGTCTCGTTGGAAAGAGGGGGCTTTCTACTCCTGGAAAGATTTACAGTCTCAGAAGCCAGGGTGGCAGTCCTGCTCTGTTCCTGGGTTGCTGAGAGCCGGAATCCACACCTAGCCGGTAGTGATGCCACACAAGTTGGGGAACCTGTGATCTGGAAGGGCTGTCTACCTAGGGCTGGGTGGACCTCCTCTCTCCGGCCCCTGGGGTCCACTTAGGCAGGTGCCTCCTGCAGGAATCCTCGCTACTGCGCACTAGCAGCAGCCTCAGCCGTGGAGGGAAGCGCTGGGCCTCGTGCTGCAGGGTCCTTAGTTCTCCCAATCCCAGAGAGACAGGGGGTGGGGTGGGGTGGGGGCTTTGCTTTCAAACCCAACAGATAGCAGCTCACACTGAGCACTTAACCTCCGGCATCCTTCCAAGGAACGCTCCCTGGTCCCATGGGGGAGGGTGGGGGACGACTCCCCTCCAGCTGGGTCTCAGCCCCTGCAGGGATATGTCCTGGGCGAAGCGCCCCGGCGACTGCGGGAAGTCTGGGCCTGCCAGACCGGGGGTGGGATTCGTCAGGCGGCCGCGCTCCCCAGGACCGCGTGAAGAAGCGGCCAGAGGGTGGGGGCTCCGGACGCAGTGACGCACCTGGCAAGCCCCGCGCCTGGCCTCCCTGGGCGGTTGCCAGCCTTTCTGGGCAGGCGGGGACGGGGGCAGGGGCGGAGCGCGGCCTTTTCTGGCTGGGAAGGAGTGGCCGCAGCCCGAGAGGTCCCTCACTGGGCTGGCTGCTGTCACCCGCGCCGCTGGCCCCAGGCTCCGGGGAGCGAGCGGCCGCCGCAGTTGGAGCATCTCCGGGCAAGTCCCTCCAGCCACCCCATGAGCCCCGAGTCGTGCTGCCCGCGGATGGGCCGCCTGCGTCGCCTCCAGGCGCGGACCTGGGTCGAGCCCGTGGTGGCCTCGACCCAGGTGGCCGCGTCCCTGTACGACACGGGGCTGCTGCTCGTGGTGAAGGCGCACTTCGGCGCCGGGGGCTGGGCCAACCACAGCGCCAGCCCGTCGCCCCGGGGGCCGGCGGAGGACGCGCAGCAGCGGGCCATCTCCAACTTCTACATCGTCTACAACCTGGTGATGGGCCTGACGCCCCTGCTGTCCGCCTACGGCCTGGGCTGGCTCAGCGACCGCTACCACCGCAAGGTGGCCATCTGCGTGCCGCTGCTGGGCTTCCTGCTCTCGCGCCTCGGGCTGCTGCTCAAGCTGCTGCTCGACTGGCCGCTGGAGGTGATGTTCGCCGCGGCCGCGGTGAACGGCCTGACCGGCGGCTTCTCGGCCTTCTGGTCCGGGGTCATGGCCCTGGGCTCGCTGGGCTCCTCGGCGGGCCACCGCTCCGTGCGCCTCATCTTCATCGACCTGGTCCTGGGCTTGGCCGGGTTCTGCGGGAGCATGGCGTCCGGACACCTCTTTAAGCAGATTGCTGGCCACTCGAGGCAGGGGCTGGTGCTGGCCGCCTGCAGCGTGAGCTGCGCCACCTTCAGCCTCTGCTACAGCCTGTTGGTGCTCACGGTGCCCGAGGCGCCGGCCAAGTCCAGCCAGGGGCTCGCCACCGTGGAGACCGTGTCTGGCGTGGTGGGCACCTACCGCACCCTGGACCCCGATCAGCCCGAGAAGCCGACCGTGGTGGGGCAGCCCCCATCTCCAGAAAAAGCGAAGCCCAAGCAAGTGATCATTGTGCTGCTGTTTGTGGGCGCCATCATCTATGACCTGGCCGTGGTGGGCACGTGGGACGTGATGTCCCTTTTTGTGCTGAGGGCGCCTCTCAGCTGGAACCAAGTGCAGGTGGGCTACGGCATGGCTGTAGGCTACACCATCTTCATCTCGAGCTTCCTGGGGGTCCTGGGGTTCTCCCGCTGCTTCCAGGACACCACCATGATCATGATCGGGATGGTCTCCTTTGGGTCTGGAGCCCTGCTCTTGGCCTTTGCAAAAACGACATATATGTTCTACATTGGTAAGTGGGGGGGCATTCTCGGGAGGCAGGCAACTCCTGGCCCCTTCCTCACCAGGCTGACACCAGGAATGCTTCTGGTCCAGGTGGCCCCGCTCTGCACCGGACACTGCTCTTGCTACCTGAGGTGCAAGGGGAACCGCATCAGGTGCATTTAAGTTTCTCTCTCCGAAGGCCGTGTTGGTTAACACCGTGACCAGGATGGGGTCCGCAGCTCTAGGAGGTGAAGGATAGCTGGGTGGTCAGTGATGCCCAGAATGAGTAAAGGAATCTTCAGAATGGCTTTGGAAGATGGGGGAGATTGGGCTGAGTTTCTGAGCGTCTTCTCCCCAAGTTTAGTAGGATAAAACATGAAGTTAAATAGCTGAAAAGACTCCCCTTCATTAAAATTCATTGGGGGTCAAGCAAGGACTTTTAAGAACCAGATTTACACTCTCAAAAAATACCCCTTACGGGCATTTTCTCAGGAAGCAAACTGACATTTCCATCAATAATACAAACAGGAAGTTCCAGACATGCGCCATGGGACTTCCTACAAGGATGGGCATGTTCCCTGTCTGCTCTGTCCAGGGCCTGTGCCACTCTGTGGCTATTGAGGACATGAGAGCTGGAGATTAAAACTGAGCAGAATGTCAACATTAGATGATTTTACTTGCTTCAACCAGCCACACGTGGGTAATGGGTAATGTGTTAGAAAGCACAACTCTAGCGGCCTACCTGGGGCTGTGCCTGGGTCACACATCCATCTCAGGAAAGCACCTTAGAAATGAAACGGCTATCTCTGTCAAGCTCCCAGTTAAGTGGGCCCTGTGGCAAGATCAACCCTAAAATGAAACTCAACTGCCGTTGAGCCAATTACAACTTACACCGACCCTGTAAGACAGGGTAGAATTGCCCAAGTGTGGGTTTCCAAGACTGGAATTCTTTATGGGAGTAGATATCCTCGTCTTTCTCCCACGGGGTATCTGGTGAGTTCTAACTGCTGACACTCTGGTTAGCAGCCCAATGCATAACTCACTACACCACCAGGGCTCTGTGGCAAGATCAGGATGCCATTGCCTTGACACCTTCTATTTCTTCCCTCTCTTCCCCTTCCCTTCCTCCTCCTTCTTCCTCTTCTTTTCCTCTGCTTCCCACCCTCCTCTCTTCTCTCTCTTACACACAATGCTTCTGGATGAGCAATAGAGATTAGGAAAGGAGAGATGTGGTGAGACATATATTGGGATGCAGCCCTGAGATCATTATTGGGTAGTGTTGGCTGAGTAACTGCTAGGTGGGCAGTTCAAACCCACCAGCTGCTCTGAAAGAGAAAGCTGTGGCTGTCTGCTCCTATGAAGATGTACAGCCTCAGAGACCTTATAGAGCAGTGGTTCTCAAACTCCCTAATGCTGCGACCCTCTAATACAGTTCCTCATGTTGTGGTGACACCCCCCCCTCCAACCATACAATTATTTTCCTTACTACTTCGTAACTTTAATTTTGATACTGTTATGAATCGGGTGACCCCTGTGAAAGGGTCATTCGACCCCTAAAGGGGTTGTGACCCACAGGTTGAGAACCGCTGTTCTAGAGGGTCACTCTGAGTGGGAATCAACTTGATGGCAGTGGGTTTGATCTTGGTGTCTATTTGGAAGATTTGTCAAGACCTCTGAGGACCGTCTCCCAAAGGAGAGTGGGTATGTTTGTGACTGGCAGGCACTTCCTTCACAGGGAAGCAAAAAGAGGGACCTTGAGTCACTTTGGTGGCACCAGCTCCCAAACCAAGGAACTCTGCCAGTTCATCACCTGCCACTGTGTCAGCGCCGTCCTGCCACATTGTGTACATGTATATAGCACATACAGCTCCATCCAAGCTTTCTGAGTCAGCCTCGAGGCTAAGGAGAGCGCTAATTGGTCGGCAGAGAAATGACTTCTTTCAAGTCAAACCACTGGGGATGGTGCACGGAGAAAGTTCTAAGCGAGGGTTTGCTTTGTTCTAATTGATGCCTTGGCTAAAGGCAAGCCTACACAGATCTACTTGTGTGATCTCTCTGCAGCTCGGGGCGTCATGATGTTTTCTCTGATCCCCATCACAACCATCCGATCCGCAATGTCCAAGCTCATAAAGGGATCCTCTTATGGTGAGTGAAAGGAATCTCTCTGGCCTTCTTCCGGGGATGGCTCACAGGTGCTCAGCTGGTTGAGAACCTACAAAAGGCATGCAGGAGAGTTCCCCAAACAGCATCAGACACACAGTGAAGGCACTGGTTCTCATCCAGGGCAGAGGGCGGAAAAAGTTCCAAACGCCAGTCCTGGGGAAAGTGGCAGTCAAGGAAAACCACTGTCACTGCAGGAGTCAGGAAGCTCCAGTGGGGGGTGAAAGCAGAATTCCAAGACAGAGAAGTCTTAGGAGGGATTCGGAAGGGTTCGCCAAGAACTCCCCAAGACTCAAGTCATGGGCTATGGAGGAAGGGCAGCAGTGGACTTGCTGTTATGTTACACAGTACAACATTTGCCTAGTCAATGTTTTTCACATGTTCCATTCCATGACATCAATTGTACGGCTCAATTTGTGTAGCATACCTTGATGATGTCTGTCCTTTCCACAGGAAAGGTGTTTGTCATCCTGCAGCTGTCCCTGGCTCTCACGGGGGTGGTGATATCTGTAGCGTATAATGAGATCTATCAGGTCTCCATGGAAAAGTTCGCCGGCACCTGCTTTGCTCTCTCCGCCTTCCTGTCGTTCCTGGCCATCGTCCCGATTGGGTAAGGTGGGAGTAGTGCTGGCGGTGTGGGGCCGGGGTCCTGTCATTTAGGTCAAGGAGTGTTGGGCCATCTCATTGACCCTGAACAAGGATTTCAGCATCTATGCCAAGCATCCGCAGTAGGTTCTCTCCCCTCGATCAATCATCTGTCCACTTGGGGTTTTCCCAAAGTGGCAAGTAGTAAGCAGAACTGGCCCAAGGGACTGGCTCACTTCTAGGCTGTGTTGTAACGCCGATTTATTTATAGGAGCGCCTGTACTTCCTTATATTCAGAAGCTGGGATTGGCAACTCGCCTGACCCACTCAGACCTATTTTGTTTAGCTCTGCCTCACTTCCGAGAGGGCTTGGCACCGGGTAACCTGTACTCACAGCCTCTGACCACTCACGACCACTGGTGCCTGAACTCTCCCCCCCAGGGCCTTCTGGAACGCCCTGGGTTTCTCTGAGCCTCCTCATTCATCTCGTGGGTCAAATAAGAGCACTCAAGTCTGGGAAAGAGCAGACAGGAAGGGGCCGGAGAAGCTCAGGAGAACCCCGTTCCCATAGGAAGAGCATTTGGCATCCACAACACGGAGAGTCTGGAATAGTGTGGTCTTTGGCTCCACTCGGGGCAAATAGTTCAAGTAGTTCTCACCCGCTGCCACCACCACTGCTGTTGCTACTTCCCATGAGGCACTTCTGACTCATTGCAGCCGCTCTCCATGCACAGGGCACCGCAGAGCTGCCCCATCAGGTTTCCATAGTTATCAACCTTGACGGAAGCTGACTGCCTCATCTTTCTCCCAAGAAGTGGCTGGAACACTCTACAACAGAGATGTAGTGCGCACCCCTGAAGGCAAGCCAAGTAAACGAGTTTCCATTCGCTAGTCCCCACATTTTTAGAACACTCCAAGCAACAGGTGAAATTAATTTAAATAACATGTGACTGAACCTAACATGTATCATTTCAACATGTAACTCGTTTTTAAAAATTATCAGTGAGATAGTTTTTACTTTTTTTTTTGTACCAAGTCTTCAAAATCTGGTCTATATCTAGGTTTACAGCACATACCAATCAAAGGAGTCTCATTTCCAGGGTTCCGTAGCCACGGGGGCTACCCTATCGGCCTGCACAGCTTTAGACTGGGCACTTTTCCTCCTTGCCCTTAAATGAGGGCCCCTCATGCATGTGTCAGAAAGGAAGATAATGAACAGAGCCACAAGGAAGTGCACGAGGTTCGCATTTGAAGAAGTCCAGTCTAGAAGGAGCCGAGAGCTGCACGTATCAGCCACGATGGCATCAGAGGGTCCTGGGGGCAGAGTGGGTTACTCATGGAAATGTTGGCGGTTTGAACCCACCATGCTTCGTGGGAGAGAGAAAAAGCCGTCTGTTTCCAAGGAGACTGATAGCGATGGAAACCCTTAGGTTATTCCCATGCACAATCAAGGCTAAGTACTTCTGATATGAAGGGAGTGTTGGCACGACCTTTACCTTCCATGATGTCACTAAGTTAAGGAGGCTCAGAAACGTTCTTTCAGCTAGCAGAGGCCAAGACTGTATCATCCATCATGGAGTGGGAGTAACAGGAAAGACCAGTATAACTTTCGAACCAGAGGAAGAAAAGCTCTATCAGAGGACATCAGGGCAGAGGAGGGCAGGAGGCTGGACGGAGTCACAGACTACCTCCTCTTCCTGATGTCAGGAGTGGCCCCTGGAAGAGAGCTGCCACCGGTGTGTTTGCAAGTCCAAGGGACCTGGCCTCCCCTTCCTGGGACACCAGGGGCCATCCCCACCTCACTCCTTTTTACATGTAACGTGAAGAAGCCAAGGAAGTATGTGTGGCTCTGCCCATCCACAATCCTCTCTCTACCAGCACACCTGGACTCAGCGGACACCTTGCGCTGCATAGAGAACAGGGGTCATCCGCAAAGAGCAGCTTCACCTCCAAAGTCAATCAACCAACCACCGTAGATCTGCACCCACTCTATTCTTCCTTTCATTGTGTTTTAACAATGATGAGAATAACAAACACTTAAAATAGTCCAGGTACCACTTTAAATGTTTTATTTGAGGGAGCTTTAAAAAGTTCATGGGAAAATTCCCTTATCCCATGAATTTTTTGTCAGTCCCTTCAGCTATTTTAACTCACCATCCCAACCACCCTTGAGATCCTTGCTATTGTTCTCCTCACTTTACAGATGAGGAAGCACAGACTTTGAGACGCTGTACTTTGTCAAAGGTTAAAGGCGCCTCGGTGGCCCACCAATTAAGTGCTTGATTGCTAAGCAAAAGGTTGGCGGTTCAAACCTACCCCGTGGCTCCCTGGGGATCTGCTCTGGAAAAGATTCTGGTCTGGAAAACCATATGGAGTTCTACTCTGTCAGTGGGGTCTCTGTGAGTGGAATTGACTCAATAGCACCCACTGACAATAAATAGCGAGTCAGCGGCAGAGCCAGGCTTTAAAAGCAAGTCATTTCTCTTACGCTTCTCAGAGGGGCAGTGCTGCCTCTGCCACCTTTAGGGAGCTCACTCCACTGCTGAGCCGCTCCTTGTGCTTCATAGCAATGGGTGGCTCTTTCTGCTGACTCCTTTCTCCCAGATGGACACGTGCTCTACCTACTGCTCTCTCCCTTTTGCTTCGCAACAGGCTGGTTGGTGCCCTGGCTTCTTCCACTCCCTCACCCTCCATCTCACCTGGTTGGTCTTCCCTTTGTTCCAATGAAGCTGCTCTGAGGATTGTCTGCAGCTGAACCCAGGGGGCATGCTGGGGTCCCACATGGTGTCTGGGGCCCCGTGACTTGCTCACACGTTCTCCTCTGGAGACACTCATTCTTAGCTTCCATGCTCCTGGGTTTTCTCTTAGCTTCCGGAAGGTTCCTTCTCCAACTTCCCAAGGTAGCAAGTCATTGGGTCTTTGCTCTGGCGAATCTGCATACTTTACATTCGTTTTTTTCTCTTCAAAGCAATCTGAAGTGCTTCCAAATGAAACGATCACTTAAATATCCAAAACTGGATGATCGATGCCCTCCGGAAACGGTCCCGCTTCAGTCTTTCCCAGCTCAGCAGACGGCTCCCCCACCGAGCCAGGGCAGACACGGATCCAGTGGTGACTTCTCAAGGTCAAAGAGGCAGCTCATTCCGCCTCAGATTAGCAAAGGCTAATCTTGATCTTGAACTCCAGGTAGTCCCTGAAATATCACAATTCCAGGTATGAAGACCTGCACTGAGGACCGTCCACTCTATTTTTTAAAAATCATATCACTATTAATGTGTTATATACAATGTTGTGGTACATAACTTTCCGATGTTATTCTTGGGTTAACAAATGAACGTATAGAAACTGATAATAAAAGGCTGTAATCATGAAATCATGAAGAACGTATGTCAGAACTGACTTATGTCAGAACTGTGGAAAAGGAATTTTGTCGTTAAGTCGGGGACTACCTGTCAACATGGGAACTCATCATCGATTCAAAAATGAAAAAGAAAGAGGTTCCAGGTACCTGTAGCTGCAAAGGGCTCATGGTACCAAGACCGTAAGAACGAAAGACGTTCCCCTGGTCATCCTTCAGCAAATTCTCTGTAGTTTTACCATAATGGGTGTAGCCAATCAGCCTATCAATGATGCACACGTAGCCAGCTTTCCCTGACTACAATGGAGTAGAAAAGGAACCGCCTATCCATCAGCCCAGCTTTTTCTAATAACTGTCTATTGTAAATCTTTCCAGCATCGTGGCCCACAGGCAAGCCTCGTGGTTGCAATGCACAGGTGCCACAGAGAAGTGAAGGTGCTGACTTGCAGGAGCTGCCACACTCTTGCTACCAGTATGGCAAAAGGAGACACTGGAGAACAGGTGACCAAAGCTACCCGCTACCCAAGAATGGCAAGAATGGCAGTGTCCAGAAGGTGCCAGCCTGAGAACAAACTGTACAGGCTCTGGGGTTCTTGGTGGGTGGGGCAACACTTTCCTGGTGACGGAAGAACTTTCTCGGCGTTCAGATGCCCTGTATGGTGAGGCTAGGCTCTGCAGGCAGCAGTGCGCGATCCTTGAAGGGCTGCATGCAGACTGGGGGCACAGCCCCATCCAACACGGGAGGGCCATCGGGCTCCATCTGTAGACAACCAGCCTCTTTTCTTCCGGAAGGTTCCAGGGTATGGTTCATTCGTCAACTGGGTGTTCTGCTTGAGGTCCCACCCGAGAACGCCACCAGGGCCATGCATTTTCAACAGCCTAAAGAGATGTCATTTCAAGAACTGCCAACACCACCGAACCTCGGTCCATGTTTTTAAAATGAAAACCTGGGGGAACGTTAGCTGCTTCCTGGGGCCATTTGAGTTGTGAATGTTCGAGAAAGCTTCGGTCTCCAGGTGTTTCCACTTTTGAAGAAGCAAACAGAACACTCTCTTCAGTGAATATGAAGGTGAATACTTCCAGTCAGCACTACCTCCCCCAGAGAGTGGTGTGAAAGCAGCAGTGGGAGGAGATGTCTGAAAGGCCATTTTATTATCCTGTTTTATAGCCTATTTTCCTTTGCATATAAAAGCTGACTCACTGCCTAATGAAACCAACATTCATCGTGTGTGTGTGCGCGCGTGTGTGGGTCATCCTTTCCCAGGCCTGTATGACTTTCCCTCTGTCACGTCACACAGGGCAGTCAGGTGCTGGGGGCCAACACAAAGCCAACGAACGCATTTCAATTTCATTTACTCAATGCACCTGGGCCCAGGGGTTGTGTCCCGGATCCCCTGGCGGAGTCACTGGGCAACAGAGGCCAGCGCCTGACCACTAAAAGGTTGATGATTCAAACCTAACCAGGGCCACCTCAGAAGCAAGCCCTGATGATCTGCCCCCAAAAGGTCACAACCTTGAAAACCCTAAAGAATACAGCAAATGAACAAAATTTATGGTATAGCTGCTAAGATCCCGGTGCCCGGCTGAGTGCTGAGAAACAGCTCAAACAAGACTTGCCTGTTCCTGTCCCAGCAGAGTGTATTATCAGGCAGGTGGGGCAAACAGAACAGTAAGCATTCTATAACAATGCTAAGATACACATGAGAAGGTCTCATAATAAGTTTGTTTACAAATTACAACCAAAAAAATCACACGTTTGACAGCGAAATTCCATGGGTTTCCTGGTTGGTGAAAGACATCGATGTGGGAGGGTAGCACATCCCTTTTGGGACATGGAACCCTCCGAGGTCTCACCCCACGGGCTTCATGTGTATCCTTTTTCCTGTAGAACTGTAATCCTAAGTATAGTGAGTATCCTACCAAATTATCCAAACCGAGGGGCAGCGGGAGAAAGCGGGTCAGGCGCAAGGATGACCCGGGGACTGCCATGTTTGTGGCTGGAGTCTGAAGTCTTGGGTGTGAACCCAAGGGCATGAAGAACCGTGTCCTTTAACTTGGGGGATCTGACCTAACTCCATGCTGTGAGTCAGAGGATGTGGTGGCAGGTACAGCTGGTGTCAGATCAGAAGTGGAGCAAACTTAATATGTGGCACTGGATTTCCCCCCGTATTTCATGTCAAAGATATGCTGAAGTCCAGAGAAAGGCGAGTGCCTTTGTTGTTGGCAGGTGCTACGGAGTCAGTTCTGACTCAGAGTACAACATGAAACAGTGCCCAGTCCGACGCCATCCTCCTAACTAGTGATGTTTAAAGCCCACTGTTGAAGCCACTGTCAATCCGCCTCATCCAGGATCTTCTTTCACGGACCCACTTTATCAAGCATGATGTCCTAGTGGGATATGCATGAGGGTGCTAACCACTGGCCACTCTGGGCGAGAAAGATGAGGCTTTGGGTTGGAACTGACCTACTGACAATGAGTTCGGGTTGGAGAGTGTTGGTCTCTCCCGATAACGGGTCCAAAGTGTGTGAGATGTGTCACCATCCTTGCTTCTAAAGAACATTCTGGCTGTACTTCTTTCAAGGCAGGTGTTTGTTCTTCTGGCAGGCTGTGGTACTTCTGGTGATTCTTCCCCAGCACCGTAATTCAAGTGCATTGTTTCTCCTGGGGTCCAACTTCCACACGCATATGAGGGGTGAGTGAAAATACCGGGGGTTAGATCAGGCACATCTTCGTTCTCAAAGTGAAATCCTTGCACTTCAACGCTTTGAACGGGTCTTGTGCAGCAGATTTGCCCAATGCATAATACATTGCTGGATTTCTTGAGGGCTGCTTCTATGAGCATTGACTTGGGGGTCCAAACAATTAAACCCTTGGCAACTTCAATAATCTTTCCTTTCCCCGTTTCTCGTGCTGCTGTCTACTGGCCCAGAGGTGAGGACGCTGGCCTTGACATTGAGTTGCAAAGCCACATGGCCAGTAAATGGCAACGCTGAGATTTGGACCCAAGCTTCCTTTTCACCTGGCTGTCTCATTGAGTGATCCGACTAATTTTAACCTGGGCATTATCAGGAGGGCAAGTTCAGCACCAACTGAAGCCCATTTCCAGTGCACCATCATTGTTCAAGGAGTCCTGGTGGATGTGATTCAAGTGCTTGTCTGCTAAACAAACAAGTCACAAATTTGAACCTACCAGCGGCTCTGCAATAGGAAGAAGGATGGGGCAGTCTGCTTCAGTACTGACAGCCTCAGAAACCCTCTGGGGCAGTTCTGCCCTGTCCTAGGGGGTCGCTACAGGTCAGGACTGACAAGAGAGAGCAATGGGTGTAATTATGATGTGAAATTATACCCTCAACCCACTGCCAATGAGTCAGTCTCCACTCATGGCCACCCTTCGGGGGCTTGTGGTGCACCCTGGCACTCAAGACAAACTAGCACCCGGTAAAAAGGACCTGGGTGTGATGGCTGACCTCCTTCGATTTCAGAGGGAAAGGCAATCGACAGCAACATCAGCCCCAGACCAGCTCCTGCGAGGCAGAGGGCAGGTATGCCTCCCTGCTCCCACTTACTCCGCTAATTTTGACCCAAACTGCCCCTCCCGTAGTGCACTCTACTCTGCTGAGTTCGTTAATTCATTGTCATGGCCACACAGAACTCACAGACCACACTCATGATGGTGGGGTTCCTAAGAAAATTACCAGGTTATAATTTGGGATCATCATTGCTCAGGACTCAGTTTGGGTCAAGACAGGTTCTTCCCAGTCATGCCCAGGGGCAGGTCTCTTTCTCACCCAGTCACCCCTTGACACTTGGGCCTGTTAGCCTCTGCCTTGCTTGGATGGTGTTACACAGCTCTCTTAGCACTGTCAGTAAGTGTCCCGATGGCATGCCACTCCACCATAAGGGCTACCAGTTAACCCAAAGCTATTCAGCGATAGCTTGTGGTCAGCAAACCTAGCTTCCTCAATTAGGTGCTAAGAGGCAAACCCATTCCTCATGTGAGCCACCTGCCTGAAGGCACTCAGCTTCCTCACTCCATCCCAAGCTCTTGGCCCTGCTACTCCATGTTTTTGCCCCTTCTCTGCCATCTTTCACCACCCTGCGGTCACAGCTCTTGGTGCCCCGGAGAGAAGGTCCAACAGATGCAGGAATCATGGGGTCCAAAGGGCACTTTCCACTCCTGGCTCTTCTTTCTCGATGGTACTAAGATCCTTCTATTCCCGCTTCTGAGATGGCTCATTTTATACCCAGGATGGCAAAATTGACCAATTCCCATATTACAGTTCCAAGGTTTTGCTATCACAATGACCTTGTTCACATCCATTCACAACGGAACCCTAGATTGCTATCAGCATCTTCCCCTTCTCTCCCCTTGGCCCATCGGAGAAAGGGGAACTACGCCCCAGCCGCATGGTCCCACCCAAGCACGAGAGTTACAAAGAAGAGCCAGGCCGGGTCAGTCACTGGGGCACACACCCTCATGAACCAAAGGCACTTCTCCTCCACACCAATTCCTTGAAAACATGATGGTCAAAAGAAATTAGGAAATGACTGACCCTGGCATAGAATAGGAAGTCTTGCTTTGCTATGGGATGGAGTGGAAAGAAACCCTTCAAATGACATCATCCTGCCCATGAAGCACTAGCGTTCCAGAGAAGGCACTAGATCGTTTCTTCATTTCCCCCAATTCGGGCCAACTTGTGCAGGAGAGTAGAGGCCAAGGTTAAGTTCTACAGAGAAATGAAGGCTCAAAGCAGCTGTCACAAGTTTGGAGATGAAGACTGGCGAGTGCTGCTGAGCACGGTGAAGGGAGAGAGTGTCGCGGGACTTGCTGCACAAGACGTTGGGACATGCATCATTTCACATGAAAGACATTTCCTCTTTCAAGATTCAATGATTTTTTTTCTTGTTGCTCTGGATATTCTGATTCTTACAAATCACTTTCTATTTAGGGTGGGGCGGACAAGCATATTTTCCTGTACCAGAGAGAGATACAAATGAGAACATGACTCAAAATAAAGAAAAACCATCTTTTATAGGTTTATTGGTCCATTACTTTAAGTTAATTGAGGTAAAGAAACTTTTAAATATTTACAAGCTAATAGTGTATCAAGCAATACAAATTTTTTTTTTGCTCTTACCTTAATTCCATAGTAAACATTTTTAATACACAGATATATGAAACAAAATTAAAAGGGTGGACAAAAACCTCGTGCCAACATAAAAAATTCAACAAAACAATTTTCCCCCTTCTTACAAGTCTCTGGGGTTTCAGGACGGAAGAAAACGTGACATTCTTTTTAAAGCTGGGTGGCTTCGGGAAACAAAGACTAGACTCTGCAAAGAAATCGCCTTTCAGCTACACACACTGCTTTTCTCAAGCACGTCTGTTTTCACAGCTTTGGGTTTGGCTTCAAGGGCAGCATGGGTGAGAGAGGACGGCGACATTTACACGGAGGACCTGACCAATACATCAGAAAGAACTTTCTTTGTTAAATTTCAAACACAACTATGCTTAAAAATGAGACAGTCCGTAACTGGGACATGACCACAGCACAAGATGCGATCTGGTCTTCGACATGAAGTTAAGAAAGTTGGCTGGCGATTCGTGTCTCTCTCCACGCATCCCCCCCTCACGAGAGATGGAGGGAGCAGACAGGCAGAGGTGCAGTGGGCAAGCCCCACACCCCACGCCCGGGGGACTCTGCAAGGCCAGTGCTGATGGTTGAGAGATGCTGGTTTGTCGTCTCGTGAAGGCCCAGCTGACCGCTGGCTCAGGTTGGTTGACAGCCCACTGTCTTCTCTCCCAGTGTATACCTACTGAGAAGAGATCCCTCCCCTCCCCTCTGTATTTGCTGATGAAGGGTTGGTCTGAGCTTATGAGCAAGACGGTCCAACAGGGCTGTGGAGTGGCATCGCCGGCTCTGGCAGAGCCTGGTGAGAGAGAGCGGGCCTTGGGGTTGCTGGGAGAGGGGCAGGTGCAAGACTCTTCACCACTGGTTTTGGGAGGAAAAGCTCTGCTGGTAAAATGGACACAATTCTGTGAGTTCAGCATGTGCTTGCTGTTTTTGGCATTTCAACCTGTGGAGAATTCCTAGCCACATACTGCCCCAAGGTGCAAAATAATCTTTACAAGTTGTTCTGCACCATCAGGATAAATCTATAGGCTTCTTTGTATCAATGATTTGCAGGTGCTGATAACCATATCCATGCTAAAAAGGCACTAAATCCTTCCATACCTTACGATATAAAGAGGTTCTGTGGTCCCTGTGTTTCCTCCCATTATCTAAAAATATCATTTGGCAATAGCATGACTTCACTTTCTCCTTCAAATAGGCAGCCTTAGTTATGAGCTTTACTCACTTGTTTCTTTACAGAGACTGAGGACTAGCTATGTTATACCTATAACAGTTCAAGATGAAGAGCAGATTACATTTCTAAAACTCTACCCAGAACTTAAAAAAAAAAAAAAACTTGAAAAATAAGGCATATTAGCAGGTGCTCACAAATGTTCAGAAAGCACAGTTCTGCTGTTAACAGTGACATTTTTACAATTCTGGATTTGCTGATCTGCAAGTGCTAAACACACAGAATGTTTACATATGAGACAAACATCTTAGTGGTTGGATAGAGTTGCTCTAGTAAACGACGAGGCTTTTCAAACACACAGGATTAAGGAAGAACCATTAACCTCACCCTATCACCCCTCTCTTCCCAAGTTCTCAGCCAGATAGTCCCTCGACACTCTGAGCCCCTCTGGGGAGGACCAGACAATATTAAAACAATTAGAGACAACTTATAAAGGTGGGCTGGTTTACAAAAGAAAAAAAAATCAGATTCCTAGTTTAGACACTCAATTAAAAAAAAATCCCAAGAAGGACAAGTCCCACACACCTAGCTCAACTCATAACTTTGACTCCAGAGAGGGCATCCTCTCTAATTTCCAGAATAGCGAAAACGTCAGTGGGGAGGCATGCCCACTCTGCTGCCACCTTGAAGACTATGGAAAATCAGAGGCCAACCCACATTTCCAACCTAAGTCTGTAACTGAGGGCAGCCAAAGCAGTTTTCCCTCAGCCATCTAACTGTATTACCCTGTTTCCACTGGTCCTCAACAAGGCATCTGAGAAGGCAAGGTCTGGGGTGGATATGTCCTGCCCTCACCACAGGCAGCCAATCTTCTGAGAGGATGCACTCGTTAGGGTGGTCAGTAAGCCTACTGACCCAAAGTAGGCCCCTGGACTGCCCCGTCTCCCAAGCCCAAACAGACGGGCCAACACAGACCTAGAAGGCTGCTCTTGACCTCATGTTACCTCCTCTCTCACCGGCCAGCTCAGAATGGAATGCACGAGGACTATTCTACCCTCCGATCAACGCTATCCGAACGAGCCCCGGATTTCAACACTGCCAATGGTAGGGACACGTCACTTCAGCTCTGCATGACCCTTGGGCCAGTACCTTCCCAAGCTAGAAACGCTCTTTGCAGACGGCTACATGGCCAGCATGCCTTTCTTTAAGGAGGAACTTCCGATGGTCCCATCACAAGAGGTAGTCTCACAGGGTGAGAGCAACAAGTGTGCCTTGCCCTTCCTCACGTGGAAGGGCGACTATAAAACACTGACACATTTCGGTTCAACATCTAGAGTCCACTCCGGGCGGGGCTGAATTTGGTACCGCAGACATCTCACGTTCACCACAGTCCTCAGAGTTGTGCTGGGTTGTTTGTTTTCTTCCCGCTAAAGAAAGGGATCAGGTGAGTTCGTCAAGCAGCATGGCGAGACATCACGGCAATGACCTCCGTAATCGTACTTCGTCCAAGTTCACCAGGGACCTTTAGCCACGCCAGGGGAAAGAGTAACCCCAGCCCTAACCCTGGCTGTACCGTATCATCCCTCCTCCTCTAGAAGCTGCGGTTCTTTGCTTTGGGCAGACTCACTTAGAGTCTTCTAACAGACCCACCACACTGGCAGGAGCAGAGTGGGGGTTGCTTATCTGCTACACGGACCTCAAACATCCTTTGTATCTCTAAAATCTGCTCTGCTTTTTGGCGTTTTCTTCTTCCTTCACCTGGGTTGGTCATCTGTGGCGAGCTAAACCTTCTACTTCTTAGGCTCAAAGCAGCTGTCGGGGATGATCTTCCATCCCACAGCCGGTCCCATCAAGGCTCAAAGCCGGTCTCTACCTGCCTTGAGGAAGACACCCCCCCAAGCGCAACACTCCTGGGAAGCACGTGTAAGAGGAGTCGGGGAGCTCAGAACCAAGACCCCATGGAGCCGAGGAGGGGGTGAAGAAATGCCACCAGGCAGTCTTTGGCACAGAAATCTCCAAGACATTTCTTCGAAGGAATCGGCTGAGTGCTGGCCAAGGTGAAGAGGTGACTGCTGGGGAGGGCTGGCCCTGAGGTCAAGGGAGCTGTTAGCATGTGCAGGCCCAGAGAGCCTCCTTCCCGTCCTACTAACCCTCCCCTTCTGGGCGGGGCTGAAGAAAGGCGCAGAGGTCTCTTCTCTGGAAAGACCCCCTCTCCAGAGCGGCCCGCCGCATCCCTTCAGCTCTTGTTGGTGTCTCAAAGCACAGGAGCACCACACAGCACCCCAAACTCATAGACACTCCTCAGTCCCTTCAGTTCCTCAAACATGAGAGGGGTATGGCGGTGCACCCCGATGCCCGGCCCCCCATCTCCTCTCGGGGAAAGACTAAATCCCCCCTCCCCTAAGAGCTACCTTCTTTCCCACAGAGCCAGTACACAAGAATGTGCCTGCACTTTGGCAACCAGTAGGTCGGTTCTAGGTTTCCATCGTTCCCCAGTTCTACGTGTGGGTTACGCTGGGCGGTATTTGGCGAGCACGCACTCCATACGGCAAAGCTTCACACTTCTCCAAGGGGAAGCATGTGCTGCCCGTCTGGCTGGTGCCTCCCGCCAATCATCCATGGACATGCACAACGATTCTACCGCAACCGGTCAGGCCAGACCCAGACACCCAGATCCACACCGACAGGACGGGTTTCGAGGTAGCAAGAAACGCTGAATCACCCCGAGGGGTAGATGGACTGCTCTTACCCTTCCACTTCAACGACTCGTGACTAAGTAGACCAAACTTCAAATTCACATCGGGGTTTAGGGTGGGCACAAAGCAGGTCTGTTGGCACAGGCAAGTCCCGAGGGAGATGAAAACGATCACTGGAACTGGGATTATCAAACACGATGACACACAACTACAGTGTCCTGTGCCATCCAACCACAGTCCCGATGGGAACTCGGTGCTGGATCCAAGGTCAAGTCTGTGGGCAGAAGTGGGACCGAGTGAATCCAACATGCAAGTCCCCCGGAGCATGAAGCAACACCTTAGCACAGCTGTGTCGTCTGGAAGGGGGGGTGGTATTACCACTTATTTGAGGTTCAGATTTATAATTTTATGGGATGAGTCACAGGTGAAATTTACACAAACACACACAGTTTCAATACACAAGTAGGTTTGGGGGGCTGGGTGTGGCGGTGAGGTGGAAAACAAACTTTCTGTCTGGTTGGATTAAAGAAGTAAAACTGGTTAATGGTTTGACATGAAAGTGTTAGACATAGCCAGGACCTGCCAAGTTCTTTGGCTGCAAATCGAGATTTTAGCCAAAGCTGGAGCAGAGAATTCTCTGTTACACGAGTCATCGTAGAGGCTTGTCCAAAGACTGACTTTTCTGCCTGAAATTAAAAAAAACAACAACAAAAAAAACCCTGCGATCCAGTCGATTCGACTGCAACAATGACCCTACGGGGCAGAGCCCCTGGGGGCTCCGGGCTGTAACTCTTCCCAGGGGCCAGAAGGCTCTTCCTCCTCCTGGAACCAGGAAACCGTACGTGTAAAAGCATTTCATGTCCAACATTCACATTTAGTTGACAACCGTCGAATGGCTCCTAACAATATGACAGCCCAGCCTCTCCTCAGCACCAGGTTGTCTGTGCATCCAGTGGCGCCAGTGGGAAACAGCTGAGCAGGTATCTGGGCGGAGGCAAAGGCAAATTGCACAAAGCAGACACTGGAGGCGGGGCTTGGCATGTCACTGACGTGAGCGACCGGGACTGCTCTGACTTCAAGACTACGCGCATCCCTGACAGGCCTAAGGTCTATTCTGAAGTCACTGCAGGAGCAACAAGGCAACATTTAAGAACTTCACAGAGAAAGATGCACCGTTTTTTCTCTCTCTCCCCTTTTTTCATTTTACACAAAGGCAGTTTCCAAACTATCACACTGTTGTGTCAGAAACAAGTTCAGGGAGCAGAGGCCCCTTGGCCTCACATGCAGCACAGAAGGATACAGATGCCGATTTGGACAGACAGACGCTAGGCTGATTTCCGTCATGAACCACACACACAAACCACATTCATCACCAACGATAAACAGGTGGTGTCCCTCATCACAAGCAGGCAGCAGGCCACACTCACAGCGACTGGCCATGCACGCAGCTACAGGCCACTGTACATTAAGGGCTGTTCCAAGGAGGTGCCAACGCCTCCTTCCTGGCTGAGACAAGTCCACGTCTGCCAAGGCCAATTCCAGGCCACACCATGGGAAGCAGCAACTGCCCTCTGCTTCCCTTGTGCCTCCCTCATGTCCTGAAAATCATGGGATCTGGAGTCTTACAACGGGCAACTTGGCTGGCCCCGTGGAAAACTGTGACAATGATGTCGGCTGTCTTGTCGTTCAGTTTCCAGTTTTCTTAGTGTTCCGCTTCATAGGCTCCTTCATAACACGGAGGTACGTTTCTTTTGCTGAGACAGGGCTGTGGTAGCCTCAGAGACTCCACCGGGGAATAAATAGGAATTAAAAATACCTGTGAGGATGGGGAGGGGGGAGAGGTAAAGAAATATACAGAGTAGAGATGTCTCTGCGGTTGATTTCCCAACGTCGTCTCTCTGACTCCTCGGGGATGTTCCGTACTGGAAGCCGTGCCCGGTGTGGGTGGAAGAGTCTCTGTCCCAAGGAGGACTTACTTGGTCTCTTGTCTCTCCTGCAGAAGTGGGATAATCGACTCCCACGCCATGAGGCACTGCAATGGGACACACACACGCACAGTATCAGCATCAGGTTTCAGCTTTTAGGGCTGGCTTATTCCTGCTCTCGTCCACTTCATCGCCAAACCTGCTGGGTCACCTCTGTCAAGAGACACCTACATGCATTACCTATAACTATTATAAACAGGGTGGCAACAGGTGTTTGTTTTTAAGACATCTACCACCCCCCACGACCACCCTTAAATGTAAAGGCAAGACTTTAAGTGCATTCAGGTTGGTCCACGAAGTTCCCACCCAATGAGTGGAGAGAGAGCCATTAGAAGGAATGCCCTCTGGTCAATAAGCAGGCAGCGAAGCTCGGGAGTGACTCTGGTTGAATCTCAGCCTAGCTTGAGGCTGTCAACCAGATATGGGTGTCCTTTGCCTACAGACATTTGCTGGTCTGGGCGACTGCTGGATCTCCCAAAGGGGAGAATGAGGAAAGGGGGCTCACTATATATACTGAGTGTGACTATGTCCCCTCCAAACTCTGCAAGATTACTTCTCTCTCTCTCTCTCTCTCTGCAGATGGGGAAAAGGAGACCCAGGGCACCTGAAGGAACAAGAGGCCCAACTCATGATTGCCAAACTGATAAGTCTTTCTATGTGCTAACCTGCCTTTGTGCCAGATTCCGAGAATGGACGGAATTCAGAAGGCTCAGCCTTCTCCAAGAGCCCGCCGGGCAGAAATGGCCTCTCTTGCATAAAAGGAGGGACAGCGGAACGCACGCAGTCTTTCCTGCAGGTGGGGCAGGACAGTGTGCTGAGGAGGTGGATAAAGGGAGGGAGGTAGCCCTGGGTCAAGTTGGAAAGGGGAGGCGTTACATTCCTCCCTGTTCCCCAGGTGCGAGAGCTGAAGCAGCTCTACTAGGAACACCGCTGTCTTTAGAGGAAACCCGGGCAGCCTCCAGGATCTTGTCTTCAGTGAAGGACCGGGTGCAGACATCCCCAGCCCCACACCCTCCCCAGGCGGTCACCTCGGATCTGGGAAGATCCTTCCACCTCAGCATTCAGGAAGTGAGGCTGTGAAGGCATTCTCTTTAGTGCTCTGGGGCTTTAAGCTCTTTCCTGTCTCGGGACCCCCACGTGGTGGCTGCTCCCTTTGCCTAGAATGCTTGGTCCTTAAGTTTTGGTCTCTGAAGCTCAGACTCAGTTTCCTTACTTCCCCTCCAAACCCACTGGAAAAGATGGGCAGCAGACAGAATCGTCTGAGCCGTCAAGAGAGATGTCGGTTCTTCTAGTTTGGGGTGTCGGGCCTCTCGTAGAGATCTGTACTTCTTCACTAGACTCGGAGGCTGGGAGTCTCCAGCAGCTGGATTTCAAGTCTGTAAGTGACTTGCTGGATGGGAGTGGTTTGTGCCTCGCCTATAACTTTTAAGCTTTTAGCAAAGATCGGGATTCATTACCAGGAATAATCTGGAATTGGATCTACTAGAAGTAAACTCTTAGTGACAAGCCTAAGCTGGGAGCTTTATGAAAGACATCCGTGTGCAGGTGTGTGCGCGCGTGTGCGTGGATGTTGGGGTGTTTAGTCTGAGTCCTGAGAGAAGTGGGATCATGAACAAAAGCGTGTTTAACAGAGTCACTTTCCTGTGTAGTCCTCATCTCTCTCTAGTTCAGGTACTCAGAGGTCTGTATTTTCTAAGAAGAGTCCCTGGGTGGGACACATGCTTACAACACTTGGCCGCTAACTACAAGGCAGAAGGTTGGAGTAAGAAACACCTTAGGGTAAAGGCCTGGCGAGCTACGCCCCCAAATCAGCCATAGAAAACTTACCGCTCACAGTTCTACTCTGACCTGGGTCTGCGCCGAGGGCCAGTGGTTTGTTTTTAAGCATTCTGATGGGGGTGGAAATGCTTCGTCATATAGCCCAAGGGGTCCACGATCCAGTGAAGACTAAGAATGGCTGAGTGTAGAACCCAAAGGTGCTAACCCTGAAGCCTCCGTTCGCGGGGCAGCATCCCTGCACTGAAGATATGACGGTCCCTGGGAAGCAGCTAGACAATGGGATCGAGGAGCTGGGGGGATGAGAGTACGGCTGTTCTCAGCAGGATGGACAAGGGAAACCTTAGTGGGGGGAAGTGGGGGAACTCTGCTTCTAGACTCAGCACAGGGGAGCCAGAACAGGGGAGTCAGGACAGCTACGACTAGACAACAGAAGAAGGAGCAGACCTGGGACAGCGTGCCCTGTGAGCGCCTGTACAAGAGCAGGCTGCTAGAAATGCTTCCTTCCTGAGAGGGCTGTGGCCGTGGGGGCCCATTACCTTCTCATAGTACTGGATGTTCTTGTCAGCCATCCCCAGCAGCAACTGGCGGAAGTCCTGCCTCTTGTTGTTCTGCCACCTGTCCATGTCCGCTTTCAGGTCGGCATTGAAACACTCCATCCGGTCCTGGCATTTCTCCACGTCGGCTGGCACCTGGAAGGGGGAGGCACACAGCTTGCGTGTTGGGATGTGTAGCTGGCTGTGTCCTGCCTCGAGCCCCTCTCTGCACATGCAGCCGTCTCTGTGTGAAAATCCCACCAACACACTCTTTTCTCTGTAGGCATTTCCTTGTTTTTTAAGCAGAACCTTGGATTTCCAGGTCTAACGAATTCTTCTCAAAGGGCTCATCCTGACTCAAAACTGCTAAGTTCAGGGAAACTCTGTGGAAAGAGTCCGTGGCTTACAAACGTAGTTAAGAGTTGCTGCCATTTGAAGAGTCCAAGACACCCTGGGAACCCCTTCCGAAGCAAAACCCGAAAACCCCGGGAACCCCCAACAAGGCCCCGAACCCAACCCAACCCCCCGTGTCCCTCTCACACGAGGAGAACATAAGATAGAAGGGGAACTACTCCTCTCCTTGGGAAGTTTGATAGCAGCTATCCTCACTTCATCAGAAAATTAACTGCAACAACCAGCGTGCAAGGTCACTGGCTAACTTCCTCCTCTGAATCCCACATTACAAATAAACTGGAGACTTATCTGTGCACCCCATATCCCCCCAAAACCACCCTCAAAACTCACTATTTCTGAGTCAATTCTAACTCATCGTGACCCTATAGCACAGGGTAGAACTACCCTCATGGATTTATGAGACTGTTAACTCTTCATGGACAGAGAAAACCTTCTCTTTCTTCCACCGAGCAGCTAGTGGTTTTGAACTGCTGGCCTTGTGGTTAACAGCCCAACCTTAACCACTAAGCCACCAGGGTTCCTGATAACAGACAATGAAAAGTAAAGAGTTGGCTGGGTCTCGGAGAACTATTTATGCATGCCAAGAGAGTCGGACAGGCAAAGGAGAATAAGTTTTTCTTCGAGGTTTTAGAAGACGGCCTCAAATTGGAACTGCCACGTGACTCGCACAACTTTCCACGTGTTTGGTGTGTGTCCTCTCTCGCACACAGCCGGCGAGAGCCATGTGGTGATGCTGGCTGCCCAAAGCCTGCTCCTCTCCTAACACACCTGCTCTGCAGGCCCTGATGCTGGCCAAGGGCAGATGCCCGCTTCCCAAATAACCACCAGTGGGACCTAGGACTGCAAATGCCCACAAGATAGGGGTTGATCTCTCCCAACCAGGCGGAAGTGTGCTCCTGAGCCTTTTAGGCAAGAAGTCAATCCAGAGGTACCAATCGCAGTGAGGCCAGGTGGGAGGGAGCCAGATGTTTTCAAGGCTTCCCAAACTGCCCAGGGCACTTAGCTACCTGCTCCATCCGCATTCAGAGAGGACAAGGCAAGGAGGCTAGGTAATGGGACTCGAGTCAGCCTGGCATGGGAGACAAGGGCAGGTTGCAGAGAAAGACGTATCTAGGTACAATGGACAATGTTTTTTTAAAAAGAAAAAAAAAAAGAGGGGAAAAGAAAGCTTCTTCAAAGCCAAAGAAGACACAGGAGTCCTGGTGGCATCTCGGGTTACGCATTGGGCTGCAAACCACATGATCAGCAGTTCAAAGCCACAGCAGCTCTGTGGGAGAGACGGCTTCCTCCTCTCGGAAGGTGGCTCCAGGCTGTCCTGCAGGGCTGCTGCGGAGCCAGACGTGCTCCGATGGCAGAGGTCTTCACTCTTCACTGCCTTCCTCCGCTGAGTCTCTTCATGGAAAATGCAGAGAAAACGGAAGAGTGCTCTGCCTTTCTAGAGCCCTTCCTTCCCACAAGCACCCAGTGAATCAGCCTCACTGGTCACCCAGAGAGCCACCGCGGCCTCACCGCCCTGCAGGTGTGGCCCAGTCCCCTATTTCCCTGCCGCCCACTGCTCCTTTCAGTTCCCGGTCACAGGCCCTAAGTGTTGCAAGGAGGACCGCAGAGGCACCCTGAGAAGAGGGAGGGAGGCAGGGGCCCCTGGTGTAAAGCGAGGTTCTTACTGACCCAGGAAAGATGCCTGGGCTCGGTTCTGGGAAGGGAAATCGGGTCGACCCACGGAAATTAAGACTTGAAAACCAGTCTTGGATTTTGTTTGCCTTTAGGGACTCTTTGGGAGCCCTGGTGGTGTAGTGGTCACACGTTGGGCAGTTGAAAACCATCATCAGCTAGTCCTCAGGCAAAAGCCTGGGCTTTCTACTCCCGGGAACAGTTAAGTCTCAGAAACCCATGGGGGCACTGTGAGTCAATACCGAGTCAGCGGCAGTGAGTTTGGTCTTTAGGAAATATTTGGCTTATTTGTATCACAACACACACGCTTGGAATACAAAGTGGTGAATTCTGAGAAATACAAAAGTGCTGACAATTTAATACGGGCCCTGATGGTGCCATCCTGAAGCGTTGGGCGGTTCACCTCAAGATCAGTGGTTCCAACCCACCAGCTTCCCCCGAAGAGAAAGATGAGGCTGTCAGCTCACAAAAGATTGGCAGCCTTAGAAACTCTAAATAGGATCTCTATGAGTCAGACTCAGCTTGACAGCAGTGGGTTTTGAGCAGCTAAGTCCTAAAAGGCACGTCTCATCTCAAGGTGCTTACAGCCTACTTTGGGGAGAAACCTGTTTTGGGGTGCCCATGTGAGTGAGGTGCTACAAGTGCTTTCAGTCTGCTCGGTGGGGCTGTGTAATAGGAGCAGAGCAAGGGGTAGCTGGGAAATGTTTACAGCTTGGGTGGAGGATCAGACTTCTTTGAAGAAATAGCAGGTAAGTGACTTTTTTTTAACATGCTAGAGATGGGACAGACTGTGATGGGGAAGAGCACCCTCTAGAGTGACAGTACCTGCCGGTGGCAGAAGTGCGAACACACCTGGACCCGCCTTGGGAACAGTGGCGCAGGTGGTGGGGCAAACAAGAGCGGATGGAGAGAGCCCCAGCTGATGAGATGGGGGTCACAGTATGGAGAGACAAGAAGCCTAGGACACTTCCTAAAGGCTAGGATTTCGAAGGCCCTTCAAAGTGATGCCCTTTGGGGAAGATAAAAAAGCCTCAAGCTTCCTTTAGCGGTAACAGAGAGTCGGATAGTTCAGGTTCTTGCGTGTGAGTATCAGACCTACCACACAATAGATGTGTGGCTTTGGGGTCCCTCATGCCTCTTATTCTAAAAAACACTACAAATCTACCTCATAGAGTGATTAGAATTTTAAAGGAGGTAATACACATAAGGCATCTGGTGTCTGCTAATATGTTGGGGGCTCAGTAGATGTCAGCTTATATTGGGATGGAAATTTTACACCATTACTCACAAAAGATCATTTGCATCGTTCAAGTCAAGACTATTTTACCAAGCTTTACTCCCGATAAGGGGGCCTGGTGGCGCAGAGGTTGTGCACTGGGCTGTCACCCACAATGTCAACAGGCTGAAACCACCAGCCTCCGACAGACAGGGCGCCCTGTTCCGCCGGGAGTCAGGGTCTCAGAGGCCCGCAGGGGCAGGGCTGCCCTGTCCGACAGGGTTGCTATGAGTCGGAATCGACTCGAGGGCAGTCGAGTCTGATATTTTCACTCCCTACAGCGCAAAAGAGATTTCTTTTTTGTTCCCCAAATATAAACTATGTCCCTATTATTATGTATGTTTCCAAACTCCATGCCACCCTCTCACCCACTCTACTCCACCCTGAGATTGCACCAGCGATGGGAGATGAGTCAACACTAAATGACACTGTTACTGAGACTTTGCTGGGCACCTGGGAACCCAGGCGGCAGGTGGGACTCGTGAAGGGAGAGGATGGATTAGCACAACCTGGTGGAGACAGACTCGACGGAGCTCCCCGCCAACTAACCACGCTTGGGAAACCAGCTGTGGGGAGGGAGTCCGAGAAGCGCCTACGGTTTCTAGGCTGGGGGCCAAGGCTGGCAGCCGTGCCACCGTCAGACTCGAGATACAGGGCTGCTGGTCCCACTGCTATTTATACAAGGGACTCACCACCGTCACGAGAGGCCTGGGTTTGGCTTGTTTTTAAATAGCAGGATTTCTAAGCAAGTAAAATTCGCTTTGGCGTGGCCCAGCAGACGGAGGGTGAACACTGGCTGTGTTAATAGAGCAGAGCAGGGGTTCTCCACCTGCCTGCGGCCGCGACCCTTTCACACAGTTCCGCATGTGGTGGTGACCCCCCCCCAACCATAACATTACTTTCGATGCTACTTCATAATTGTCATTTTGCTACTGTTATGAATTGGACGACCCTGGTGAAAGGGTCATTTGACACTCCCCCCCACAGGTTGAGAACCGCTGTTGTAGAGGTATTCACAAGTTAGTCTCACAAAATGAGCCTGGTGGGTGGGAAGGTGGGGAGGCACAGGTGTTAAAGTGCTCAGCAACTAACCCAAAAGTCGGTGGTCTGAACCCCCCAGCTGCACACAGACTCCTTCCTTCAAGAGGACAGCCTTGGGACGACCCGTACTGGGTCAGTCCTTCCGTCTTACAAGGTCACTGTGGGCTGGAATTGGCTCGACAGCAACAGGCTTGGATGGGGGTGGGGTGGGGTGCAATTATGCTCACAGGTGAAAAGAAGTCTCGGCAGGAGCCACCGTTAGAGAGGAAGGAGGAGCCCCAAGACTGCAGCAGGACTGGGTGGTAGTGGAGCCAAAGACAGCTGTTCCCTCTGCTTTCAGAAAGCCACACAGCTGGACACGGTCAAGGTTTAATCCAGCCTTTTGATTCGCAGCTCCTGTCTTTGGAAAAGGACTGACCGCCACACGACCTGACAAAGCCATCTCCGAGGAGGCGGGAATCTAGTGTGAAGCCTACCCGACCGTGAAGGAGCTCCGTAGGTAGAATCTTTAAAACACAGCACCTTTAGTTTCCAAACGAGAACAGGGACAGAACTTGTTGCTTCTCCCTTCCTTGCCCCCAAACCAGGAAAAGTAGCTCCCATGCTTACATGAGGTCTGAATTATTAGGAGGAATTTTTTTTTTAAAGATATCAACACAATCCTTCACTTTAGACGAGACGGAGACATGGGGAGGGCAGAGAGCCACCGGGGCAGCTAGGGATTCCTGAGCACAACAGGCAGCTGTGGGGGGAGAGGGGGGCACAGGGCAGCCCTGCACACCGCTGGCTTTCTACCCTGGCCCCACCTTCGACATGGAAGATGGAAGAAGGCTGAGGACAGACTGGGGGCAAATCTCAGTGACCTATACTGGGCCAATGGCAGGAGTCCAGTCCTTATTACCCTGCTCCCCATAAAATGTGCGCAACCTCCATTCTCGGTGTAGACGACAATGAGTGGCACACAGTGATTTCACAAGCAGTGATATTTCACAATCATGTTCTAGGCCTGCGGTAGAAAGTGCACTGGTTGTAGGTAGACTAGGCCATCTATTGAGCTGCACTGGGGCGGGCCTCCTTCCCTATGCAATGGGAAAAACAACAGTGCCTTCTCTCTGGGCCTCACATGACTTCTGCAGTGGTCAGGGGAAGCAAGGAGCAGAGACAAACACAACTATCAAGTGAGGGTGGAGTACCATTTCAGAGGATCAGGCTTCACATGCCCAAAGCTGCTTCCTTTCCAGGTATGTATGAACATGGCAGGAACAGCAAGCAAGACCCAAGGCAGGGGGGATGTACCAGGTCTGAAGCCAAACTATTTCCCTGACCGCCCCTGCTAGTCACCTTGTTAGTAATACCGCCCACATCTTTTTAAAGCACAGACCGTCTCCAATCATACACGGCAGAGGGGGAAGAGTACCCTGACAGCTCTAGATTCTGACTGCGGGTTGTCCTCCGGGCTTTCCTGTTGAAGGTCAGCGTGCTCTTGGGCCTCCGCGCGCGCTCACCTCTCTGGTGGAAATAACAATAATGGAGCCTAAACCTCCAGATGGAGCCCTGGTGGAGTCATGGTTACATGGCGGTGGGCTGCAATCGGCAAGATCTCGCAGTTCAAAAGCACCAGCCACAACAAGGGAGGAAGATGTGTGGCTTTTTACTCCTGTAAAGCGTTACCACCATCTCAGAGGGGGAGTTCTACTGCCCTCTGGGGTCGTTAGGCCTCGCATCTACTCGATGGCAGTGAGAGAGTGAAACCAAACGATTATTGTGTGAAATGAATGCGATCCTACCTAAAAAGTGCTTGGCACCCAGTAAGCACCTTCATTTTGACGTCATTCCTTTCGTTTTCCACCCAAGTTGGGGAGGAGAAAGCCAGCAAGCAGAGTGACCCATACAACGGATGCATTTTCACAACGGTGGACCCGCTCCCCGCCACCCGGGCACCAAACATGGGCGTGGAAGGGCGTCAGGCACCAGCTAGGACGGTGCTTCTGTGTTGATGAGCCAATGACTGCTGCCTTCCCCCTTTCCTGCCTCCATCCAAACAAGTTGTAGTCCTACGATGTGCTAATTAACATGCCGCTTGCCCACTGAGCCACTCGGCCAGCACGCACACGAGTATCTAATCCATAAGCCCCCTAGTGCTGACCCTCACTGCTTCCACTGGTAGGTGTGTGGGGACCCAGGCAGGAATCACATAGGAGGACACTGGTCTAGACTAGTCTTCCTCTCCCCCACAGAGGCATTGTACACAGAGAGAGGAAGTACCAGTAAGTGGTAGAGCTGGAAGCCTACATATATATAAAAATACGAGTATAAAATATACACATATATGCATCAGGAAAGAGCAGCAAGCTCAACCCCAACAGCATGTTTAGAACTCTCAGAAAGAAGCCCTAAAAGGAAGCCAACAGAAGAAAATCCCGAGGATTGACCATCTACACTGACCATGTATCTGCGTTGTATCTAGCGGCTGTTATATGTCACCTGTCAATTTCCACTCATGGTGACCCCATGCAATGGAGTCCAACTGCCCTGGAAGTTTCCTGGACTAACCCTTACAGACGCAGGTCTCCAGGTCTCCCCACGGATCTGTTGGACGAGCACAAACTGCCAACCTTCAGCAGTCAAGGCTGTATCTAGAACAAGAATGCGCACGCGCAGACGGCAGCGTTCAGCCCAGACGAGGCACCCACCCGCGCGTCTTGGCTGACCTTGGGGCGGTCTTCGTTCCGCAGAGCCGCAGCTTCCAGCTTGGACTCGTATTCTGCTTGCACTTGGTCCCTCTTCTTCAAGACGCCCTGCGGAGGAAGAGAGGAGACGCGGTTAGCACTGAGTCCACAGAGAAGCCTCAACTTTCAGGGCCCTAAACAGGAGAACTCACTGCCATTGAGTGGATGCCAACTCAACTCACAGCGGCCCTGTAGGACAGGGTAGAACTGCCCCTGTGGATTTCAGAGACGAGCTCTTTGGGGACTGGAAACGTAGCTGGTGGTTTTGAACTGCCGACCTTGCGATGAGTAACCCAACCCGTACCCGCTATACCACCAGGGCTGTGATTGACCCTAACTCTCCCTAAATCAACGACAGTACACGCAGGCCCAGCCATGCACTCCAGGGGCAGTTTGGCCTTGTCACAGAGGCTACCGTGTGACACGTGACCTGAACTCTGGGAGAGGTAGGGGAAGAGGAGGGAGGCAAGGAGAACCACACCTGAATAGGGATTTCTAGCAAGCAATTGCCTGGTGCTCATGGGGAAAGGATTCTGGGAAGGGCCATGAGGGAAAGAGTGCCCGTCCACACCCACACTGATGGGAGGGCGCCGGGCTTCCCCATGTGGAGAGCACTCGGCGGTGCCAGGCTGTGGAGCTTGGCAGGTCACATGGCAGGCTACTCTCTGAACGCTCAGGGAAGATGTCCACGTCAAAGAAGTTCTTGACTCCCGCAGGCACTGAACCAATCCCTGGTTGAACGGCTTACTCCATTAGCCACTCATCTGTTGCCTTTTATGGGCCAGATGTGGAGCCCCTGGTGGTGTCGAGGATTATGTGTTGGGCTGCTAACCACAGGTCAGCAGTTCAAAACCACCAGCTGCTCCGTGGGAAAAAGCAGCTTTCTACTCCCATAAAGAGTTACAGTTTCAGAAAATCACAGGGGCAGTTCTGTCCTGTCCTCCATACGGGGTCACTGAGTCAGCAGCCACTTGAAGTGGATGAGCAGTGAGTTTTGGGCTATTGGGCTGGATGAGCACAGAGCGAAGAGATGCAGACCCCACCTGAGGTGGTACAGTCTGGGAGGAGTGCTGACGTAGTACAATGCTGAATGTGCTACCAAAACCAGGACAAGCCCAGGATTCATCAATATATTCATTCTCTCTCTTCAGTTTCACTTCCGCTATGTAATTTTGTTTTTATTTATATTATACATATCTCCCTTTTGTTTGTGGACTATAATGCCAAGGGAAAAAATATCCATCAAAGCAGGGTCAGGATCCCATTAACCCCCTCCACCCCTACCCCCACCCCCTACCCCGTACATGTGTTTTTTTTAATCCTTTCCCCACGCTCCGCTCACTCCCCTCCCTCCCTTCTCTCTGGCCTTGTGTCCTGTGGTCATCATTGAAGTCTCATCCTTTGGTGTGAAAACTAGTTTCCCCCCTTTATAATCAAGGCATCATAAAATATTTATCTTGATGAGAGTACTAACTTCACTGAGCAGAATGTTCTGATTTTTGTCCAGGTCTTAAGGTATTTGACGGATGCATCATTGTTTATGGATGTCCGTACTCGTCCACTGGGTGAGTGTCCCAGTTTGCTGGTCCATTCCTCTACAGCCAGGGGTCGTGATGGTTTCCATCTTTCAGAAACCATCTTCGACCACCACGCTGGAATGTGACAGTGGCACAGCTCGGGGCCGCTTAGCCCCTCTGCTGAGGGAGCCAAAGCCCCTAGGGGACGGGTGAGAAGAGGAGCTGGAACAAGTCCCACCCAGCCCAGAAGTGTCACCCTCCACCCCCAAAGCAGGCCAGGGAGCCCCACACCCCAGATCCCATTCCCAGGTAGCCAAGAAGACGTACAGTGGCGGGACCTGTTCCCAGGCTGCACCGCAGGCGAATAGCATGGCAGTGACTCACTCCGGCCCTGCCTGCATCCAGGACAGCTGCCGTTTCGCAGCCTGTGACCCAACCTCTCTCAGGGTTGGGAAACTTGTTTTGAATCAAGTGAAGCTGTTTTAAGAGTTTCGCTCTTGTTGAAAGCGCCTCTGTCCACACTTGATGGCAGTCTGCGAGGACTGGCCTCCCATCCGAGCACCACGGGCTCTGTTGACAGAACTGGGCCGACTGATGTGGCTTGTGAGGAGTGCTGGGCCCTCTAGTAGGATGAACGGTCCAACAGCTCCTCTGACCCAGGCGGCATCTACAGTGAGGACCCCCTCCGAGTGCCTTTCAGAACACGTGTGTCATCTGAGCTCCGGGTCTTCGTGGGGGTCGCCGGCCCTGCTGGCGACCACACATCAACCAGGCGCACAGAGATGCTTTGCTTGTTTCTTTTGTGTCGGCCCCCCAGTCATGCTCACGTGGGTCTGTCTGTCCTGCCTTAATTCATCTTCCTTCCTCTGTTCTGTCAAGTATTTACTGGTTCCCCTTCCAGGGGGCTGGGGACACAGCAGCGGGCCAAACTCACACAGCCGTGACGCCACGCAGCTCATGTCTTAAAGGGGAGTGATATAGTTTATTATGCCAGCCTGGCTGATAAATACAAGTGTGATTAACTGAAGGGCGGAGAGATAATGGCTCAGTGAGCCTCATCTTTCTTGTCTCTTGCTCTTTGATCATCGGAACAGTGTGCGGCTGCCTTGCTCGTTCTTTGCCTCAATTTATAGACAGTGTATACTACCTGTGGGACGCCTACCCTGCGGACTGTGTCTCTGTAAGTTGAGGTCCCTTTAAGGCATCTCTGGAGCTGGGGACTGGCAGTTGGGACTGGTGGTTAGTTGACAGTTGGTGATCTGCCTTGTGATTGGCTGCTGTGCTGAGAATAGCCTCACTCTATAAATAGAGGGGGATCTGGCACCAGAGAGGGAGGAGAAGGACTGCTAGTCTCTCACGACCCTGAGCCATTTGTAGTGCTTATAATTTAACTGTTCATTTGTTATATTTATCTGTATATAATTTAACAGTTCATTTCTTGTTATATATCTAATTATCTTTATAAATAAATATATTTAATTATCAGGAATTTGGTTTTATCTCTCTAGAGAACCCTGTCTAACACAGGGAGGTAGCTGGTAGAACTGTGCAGGTCGCTCTAGGGTCCTGTAGAAAACCAAAATCCAGGGGGGAGGGGGCTATGAAGCACAGAGGGTTTGAGGATGGAGAATGAACGCACGGTGACCCGGGAGGCTGTACTTTAGCTCCATACAAGAGAGTGCCTCTTGGACACTAAAGAAATGCAATGACTTCATCATTTCGAAGTGGTCCTCGTCATCTGGATTTTACTATCTTTCCTTTCAAAGAACAATTGGGGGTGTGGCGGGGAGGGGAACACAGGGAAGGGATGAGTCACCATCAGTGAAACACACTATATTCCTCTGGTTCCTTGAGGCTTCCTCACCCCCCACTACCATGACCCCAGTGCAGCTTCTCAATGCAGACTAGACTGGAACATGGGCACAGGTATAGAAAGGGATGGGAGCTCACGACACACAGAGTCCAGGAACAGGAGTGGGAACAGTGACACCAGCAGGGTAGGAGGAAGAGGGGGAGAGGAAGAGAGAAAGGGGGAACCGATTGCAATGATCGACACACAACCATACACCCCTCTCCAGGGGAAACAACAACAGAAAACATGGGGGAAGGGCCACAGCGGTCGGTGTGAGAGATGAAAATAATAACAATGTACAATCTATCAGGGGGTTATGGGAGGGGGGAGAAGAGCTGATACCAAGGGCTTAATAGAAAGTAAATGTCTAGAAAAGAATGAAGGCAACAAATGTACAAACACGCCTGATTCAAGTGATGTATGGATTGCGATAAGAGCTGTACGAGCCCCAATAAAATGATTTTTAAAGGAAACAAAGAAGGGACAAATGCCTCATGTCTTCAGCAAGCACACTGAGAGGGGAAAGAGACGGAGAGACGCTTGAGACTTAGCATTATTTTAACAACATGACCATTGATTCTGACATTGCAGGGTTGGGGTGGGAGCGCCGGTTAAAAGCTGTGTCCACAACAGACGAGGGAATGTGAGGCGCGATCCTGCGGCTCCTTTCCTTTCTTAAAGAGAACGCTCTCATCTCCAAGGCGTGTACTGTACTTTTTTGCACATTTTCTTTTATACATGGCAACCTATATATTTTATTCATTCCCCGTGTCCAGAAACAAAAAAGAACAGCCCTCTTTCTAATCGAAAGTGACTATGTTGGCATTTTCTTTGAAGTGGCCCTGGGGAGGCCGGTTGGGAGGACGGACTGCGAGCTGGCACCTGCTAGAGCTGGGCGGAGGGGGGACATGGGGACATGCGGGCTCGCTCCACAGGTCCTCTTACCTTCGCAGCCTGGGAGTTCCTGTCAGAGAACACTCAAGAGCAGAAGCACACTAGCTGTTATACAAAACGTTATCAACAAATTATAGGAGCTCTGAGCCTAACATGTAGTGACTGCACGCGGCTGCCAACCCAGGCCTTGAAGTCGTCTGAGCTCTGGGTCTGCTTTAGGGTCTGAACCTGCACGGCTTTCGTCTCTTCTTTCGCCCATGGCGGCTTTGCAGATGGTGCCGCTCTGCCGAGGGTGCATGGAAGAGAGGGTGCTTACATACCGGTCCTCCCTGTCACCACTGGAAAACCCCAGTCTTTCTACTGACTTTTCCCCGTAGTCCTTTAAAACATGAGATCCACATGTATTCTTCATATACCTGCACCTTATGATGTTTACTTTATGAGATATTGAATGTTCATCTGAGCCCAGTGAATTGTGGTGCTGGCAAAGAATATTGACTAGACGGGGGGGACTGTCAGAAAACGAACCAATCTATTTTGGAATCCAACCCCTTAGCAGTGAAGATGGTGAGACTTGGTCTCCCGTCTTTGAACATGCTTTCAGGAGGGTCGTGGTTAGAAATGTGAAGCCAGGACCTGCAGACACGGTCGGTCTATGAATTGGAGATGCCGGGATCGCTGTTTTCCCTCTGGGATGCAGCGCTAGAAGAAAACCGGTCCAAGGTGAATCTTACCTTAGGACCTCTTTGCCTCAGTGCTATGTTTCTAATAAAGCCTGTGACCAGGGGACTGGGTAATGTCATTGGTTGGGTGAGAGCTACAGCCTTCTATACACTTACTTTCATTTTTCATCCGTGACATCAGAGCCACCCTTGTTATCTGCTACCTGGTGTCCTGTGACAGTCTGCTCACGGGTCTCCTACCACCTGTCACTCTCTGCCACCCATTCTCCACACTGCAGCACACGACTTTCAAAGTCGTCCTTTCCAAGTAAACGCTGTACCATGTATAACTCTCCTTCATAAAGCTGAACGGCTTTTCTTTGATTCTGTAGAATAAACCCAGACTCTTATTAACCTTGGCCTTTAAGTTGCTACATGACTTGGCTGCCAAATATCTCTTTGACCTCACCTGCTACCTGTCACTACCTTGTTCACGGAGCTACATTATTCCAATATAATGTTTGTAAGAGGCCCTGGTGGCACAATGGTTACGCACTTGGCTGCTTACCAAAAGATCAATGGTTCAAATCCACCAGCTGCTACACAGGGGGAATATTACAGCCATGGCACACTTACAGACAGTTCTCCATCTTCCTGCGGGGTCACTATGGGTCAGAGTCAACTCAACAGCCACATTAGCGGCACCACAGAAGTATCTGGCTTCAATCTGGCAGAGTTTGAGACCTGTCTCATTATTTCAATGAAAATTGAACCTACATAAGCGATAAATCCAGGGTATCCAGGGATTGTAAAAATTATTTTTGATACTATTGACTTCATAATTAAAGCAAAATACTCGGGTTCACTTGAAACATGTTGGGATAGATTTCTATACTCATTACCGACTCAGGATTAAAAATGCTTTGTGCGTATCTCGATTTAGAAAAAGAAACACAATAAGATAGAGGAGGACAAATTGAAGATTTGGAGCCAGAAGCCTTGGTTTTAAGCTTCACTGTCAACACTTACCAACAAAGTTATCTCAGGCTAATGACCTTACATTTGAGATATACGTTTGCCCCCTTCTACTTTACAGAGAAGGGGTACAAACTACTTTCAGACGACTGTGAGAACGGAACCAGACACAGTGCTGTCTTTGAAAGCACTCTGCTAACTGCACGGTAGAGTATAAGGAACAGTAATTCACTCTATCAGAAAGTCTCCGGTTTCCACGGCCCACGGTTTATTTTTTAACTGTTTTATTGGCGTATACTTTATGAATGACAAAATTCAATGGTTTAATCTATTTAAAAGAGTTGCGTAATCAGGATCAGAATCAATTTTAGATCATATTCTTCATTTTTGTATTGTCATTAGCTACCCACGACCCCCTTGACCTCACCTGTTATAACCCTAAGGATCTATTAAACCAGTTACTGTCTCTATAGACTTTCCTATCCAGGATTTCATGTAAAGAAAAGCATACCAAAAAAGCCAGATCATCAGCAACAACAAAGTAAAACACAGATAAACTGCAATCCAAAAGAAGGCATAAGATTAAAAACTGAGAACAAGTGAAACACGTGACCAAGGGAGAAGGAATGGTAAGAAGTTACTTTGTAAACTAACTCGAATGGTAAGAAGTTACTTTGTAAACTAACTCTAGCTGCAGCAATCCTTTCCCGAAGCTCTCTGAGCACAAACGACTCTCTGAGCACAAACGACGCCCGTGTCTGGTAGTGGTCCGAGAGTTCCATGGAGACTGAACCTGAGCGGGGACGCTGCACGTGGATCTGGGGTTCTCACTGTCATCTAGAGCCTTCTGCAAGCTGGGTGCTCAGAACTTGAGTTCTAATGCAACTCTCCCCTCCAATACTGTAGTTTAATATTTTTAATCCTTTGCTCACAAGGGCTAGAGTGCTTCCTTCCTCTGGGTGGATCTAGCTGACACTTCACTGAGGTGGTTGCTTGCCTGAGCAGAAAGTTCCCCCACCTCTTTAGTTAGGACCCAGGTCCTGTTCTTCCTGATATCTGGACACCACCTGTTTTCTTCACCCACTTTGCTATAGCACCCATATCTTCTATGATAGTCATGACCTAGTACCTGTGACGAACTTCACATTTCCTACCAGATGAAGTAAGTTCAGGCAAGGGTGACGAACACATGGGACTCATGCCACTCTCTCTGCCTTTGTACAGACTTGTAATGTTTCATTCAGCATGTTCACACCCTTCTCAAGTGGTGGTCCCTGGGTGGTGCCAACGGCTACCATGCGTGGTTGCTAACCAAATGACAAGGATTATGTCCACCCAAAGATGTCTTGGAAAGCGAGCCACTGAAAACGCTATGGAACACAGTTGCACCCTGACACACACAGGCCACTGCGAGTCTGAACTGATTCGATGGCCGCCACAGAATCTTCTCACAACTCCCCGAGTTTCTGTTGCTCTACCTGTGCAATGCAGGGCTCTCTCAAGAGACTCGTGCCATGGAATAATCGTGTCACAACGCCACGACTTTCTGCTTTCCCATTTGTACAACCCAATGGTTTCTCTCCAGAGACTGGTGCCAATGCCTAACCTGGTCCTTCGTACAAGGATGCCCTCCATCGGCCCCAAACCCCGGTTAATGATTGAGAGGCATCCTTTAGAAGTATGAAGGGAGCTTGGGAGCATTGATACTCAGTACTGAGTCACGTCTTTCGCTCTCAACATTTTTTGGTTGATTACAGAGACTGACCCCTTTCTGTACATAGTGCCACCCTCCTGGGATTCCTGGGATGCTCTCCCGGAGTCCAATACAGTCTGGGGCACAAGCGGCAGAGCCAGCAGACCCAGAGTGGACAAACGAAACATTTGACCCTGCTCCCCGCCCTGACTCTGCACACTAAAGTCAAGATCGGGAAGAATGCGTCCTCATAATGCTTCTCTCTCGTCTCACGCATTGCTGCTAACCCCAAGCCGGTCTCGTTCCTTTTGCACCTCACTTCCGCCACCCCTCCTCCGTCTTCCCTTGCGACTCCTTGGCCCTCTCTAACGCTCTGGGAAGCCCATCCTGGCATGCTGCTAGTTCCAAGAATGCGTTTGTGTGGCTCTCTTTCCATTCCTTTCCCTGGGCAGGTAGCACGTCCTTTCCGTCGAGAGACACCTGTCCTTCCATTCTGGAGGGCTCGCCAGGTTCATTTCTCCCCTCACTTCTGTCCCTCAGGTTCTCCGCTTCTCCATCAAAAGTTCTCCTCAGGCAGAAGTTAGGCCTCCGAGACAAATCCTCTGTGGCCTTTTTGTTCACGTTTCTGGCATTTTAACATTTGTTCTACTGTCCATCTGCTGCTGGTGTTGTCTGCCAGGATTCCCTACGTTATCTTCCAGAGTTTCTGTTTTTAATCTCCAGAAAGGTCAAATTATTCCGTTATTCTTCTCCCATGTCACGTTTTCATTTAACATATTAACTCCTTGGACTCCCAGGGAAAAATAAGAATTTACTCAAAAGCACTTTGCCTTCATTAACTTCATGCACCTGGTTTAACGTGCATTCTACTGATCTGTCCATGATGCCACTCGATGGGTCTGATCTTGCCCGCCCGCCCCCCAAAGAAGAAAACCTGTACTGCCTGCACATAGGCAAAGGTCACCTACACGGGCGAGGCACTGAGCTCCAAGCTGCAAGCTCTGCAGTTCACGCCTGCCAGCTCGCCCACAGGCTGTCTGCTCCAGAGAGACGGGCAGTCTCCACGGCAGCCGTTCTCAACCTTCCTAGTGCCGCCACCCTTCCTCATGTGGTGGTGACCCCCCAACCAAAAAGTTATTTCTGTTGCTACTTCATCACTGTCATTTTGCTCCTGTTATGAATCGGGCGACCCTGTGAAAGGGTCGTTCGACCCCCATGCAGGGGTCGCGACCCACAGGTTGAGAGTCGCTGCTCTACAGGGTCAGGATGAGTTGGAATTGGCTTTAGAACTGGGCTTTTGTTTTGTTTGAGGTACGACCAAGATTGGCACGTAAGTGTGCTAGAAGAAGGCAACGTACCTTCATGGAGTCAGCGTATAAGATGTATTCCCTGAGCACAGGCAGGAAGTCCTCCGTCATGTCATCCGTCAGCTCCTCCAAAGCCGTGGAGCAGTTTCCGATACAAGCCGACACGCCCTCCAGAGGCTCGGACAGCTCACCCTCTAGGGCGCTCCACGTGGAGTACACAGGCCCGTACTCTCTCAGCTCCACCAGGTACTCTGAATCGGGCAGAGAGAGCAGCGGGCTGGCTGGGTAGCATTACGACAAATGGCAACCACCAGGTATGTTTCTTTGGCCATTCTCCCGGTAACATCGTAACATGCGTCCACTCTGCCAGGTCCAGATGGACGCTGTACCTCTGGACAAGAGGTCCACCTGCTTCCTAACAAAATGTGGTAAAGCTGTATCCACCCAACGTCTTTAAAAACCCCACCAGCTACATTCCCAAAGTAGACTCATGGGGGGGATGTTCTTCAAGTTAAAAAAAAAAGTCATAATGGAAAGAAACATTGTATGTCTGTTATGTCTTACATAAGCAGACTGACTCTCAGTCAGGTGTCATCCCAACACCTTGGTACAGTCAGAATTTAATGACCATGGCCCTTAGGTGTGGAGAGTACCTGAAGTTATCTTCAGAACCTGCTGCAGGGCCCGCATGATACTGTCATCGGGTGAAAGAGAAGAGAGTAAGTATCAGCAGCAACGGGTCCCAACATTCCAGGACACAGCAAAGTGCGTGGGGAGGAAGCGGTGGCAAGAGCCAAAAAGACAAAGAAAGGGCCCAGCATTCCCCAGGTCAGCAGAAGTGGATTGGAAAGCAGCAGGGGGAGGCAGGTGAGTCCACTTCAAGCCTAATCGCTCAGTGTCATAACCTTGGCCCACACAGGTCACTCTGCTATCCTCTTGAGCAAACTTCCTATTAGAAAAGATGGCCAAGTGTGTTTAAAACTAGTCTTCCTTTGGGTGAAGGAAGGGAGCTTTGGTGTAGAGTAATGCGTTAGGTTGCTAACTGCAAGGTTGGCAGTTTGAAACCACTCCTGCCCTCGAGAGGGAAGAGGTTTTCTACTACAATAAAGAGTTACAGTGTCGAAACCCAGGAGGGCACTTCTACTCGTCCTGCAGGATTGCGATGCGTCCAAATGGACTTCATGGCTGTGAGTCGGTCAGCCAACGGATGGAGGGCAGTTGGGTGGGTGTCTTGACTTTTAAAGCTAAAGTTACTCTTTACCTTTAAAAAGGTCACTGTGACTCACAGCCACCTGTAGATGGAGAGCAGAGTAGAACTGCCCCATGGGATTTCCAGGACTATCTTTATGTAAACAAGCTGCCACATCGCTCTCTTGTAGAGCGGCCGGTGGGCTTCAACTGCTGAGTTTCTGGTTAGTACCCAAGTGCGAGAGGGCAGCTATGCGTTAGGCGCCCTGGCAACAGGCTTCGTTTTAAGCGACAGTGGAGAGATTGAAAATGGCCCAAAGCCCTGACACATGGCTTAGATGTGGTCGTTGACTATGGGAGAAGCAAGTGCCAGGCTGAGATGCAGGACAAAGGATGGGGTGCGAAATCAGAGTCCAGCTCTCAGTACTTCCTCCACACCTTGAATCTGTTCGTTTTTGAAGGGACAAGGGGTCTAATTCAGTCAACTCTACATGCCATCTGGGTCTGCCTACGAGCACTCGTGGATGCCATTTCTATAAACACAAGCTCTGGGCATGACCCAGATTTCAACCAAGAGCTCACCGATTTCTTCTTTGATGATCCGCTGGGCTATTCGATCGACGGTCCCGAGTTTGAGGGCAAACGTATCTAAATAGTCGCCTACGGCCGCGAACTCCAGAGGCCGGCTTCGCAGCTTGTAGCCTCCGGTGACGTGCTTGACGGACTCGCCCACTCTGGTCAGCAGGGCCATCCCTTGCTTCTTGTGGGCGTTCAGGTCCTGAGGAGGGTTCAGGGACAAATAGAAGGTCCTCAGTCACACACAGGGTCCTTCCTTCCACGTCCTCCTTCCCCGGCACGGCCCTGCCTGTCCTTATCTCCACTCTCTTATCTGTATCTCCAATTTCAAATCCTTCATCATGTAGCCTATACCCCAGGCTTGCTCATCTTAACCCTTGATAATTTATAAATTATTACTTTGTCATATCTCACACTGCCCGGCGTCTCCCTTCACCCACCTGCGTTCCTGGTATTAAAAAAAGACAGGAATAGAATGTGTCCTGTTTAAAGCTAACTCCTATTTACTCACTCACATGAAAGTTGGATCTTGATTAGAACATTAAAGGGTCTTTAAAAAAAATTTTTTTTTATATTGCTTTGCCCATAAATGAGTAAGTACTATCCCCACAAATCTTTCCTGCATAGATTACTACCCTTCCCCCTTTTTAGGGGGGATGTCCAATAAAAATGGTTGCACTTACAGACCATTCTGGACAACTGACCTATAACTTAGGTAAGATCATGAACTACGCTTTTGGAGAAGATTAATTTTACCTCATGAATAACTCCATAGAACTATCCCTGAGGATCCGTTTACTGAGAGCTTCTCATTTAGGAAAAGAATACAAGTTAGGCCTTCAAGGAAGAGGCCTTTGGGGAAAAAGAGGCCCAAAGCCCACTGAGGCTTGAAGCAACAAAGAGCTAAATCACCATGCATGTGGTTCCTCTGCTGTGGAGTGCTATCTTCTCTGTGGTCTTTAAAGCCGACCAGCACGATCTGCCAACACGTCTCAATGTTGGCCATTTTGAAAAAGAAAAGTGGAAAATACCTGACCTTCAAAACCCTGGGCCAACGTGGAACAGAATACCCTGGGCTTGAATATGGGAATGTGGTGCCTGACACTAAACGACAGGGCTGGAAGGAGAAGCCGAGCACGTGGCCCCCTTTCCGACAACGACAGGGGGCACCGTGGGCTTGCTGGCCAGATCTGCCAACAGGGGACAGGGAAATGCCCAGAGAGCCAGCGAACACTCAACTTGGGTTTGACTATAAAGAACCTGTCAAGTGTGTAGAACAATTCTTTGGACAATGTCTACCTAATGGGAACATGGCAGCAGCCAAGTAACGCTGAAGGACTCTTGACCAGGCCGCATAATAGAAAGAGGAAGTTTGCACTCCCAAACCACAAGACCCAATTTCAAAGCCTCCATGCAGAAGAATGACCTCGCTGGACAAGTCTGAGCTCCCTGAGGTCGGTTTCCTCGTCTTCTAAAGGATCCCTTGCTCAACGGTGCCCAATGCTCTTTCCCTTTCGGGACTATTGTTGAGCAGATCAGGTCGGATCGCCGAAAAGTGAAATAAGAAAATGCTTTTCTCTGCTTTTGACAAGTGAAAATATTCCAACTTCCTCTTCTGCAAGGCTTTTTTCCCCACCCTCTTCCTGGATTCTAATACGGAAGTGTCGCTAATACCAACAGGCATCAGAAAAACAGAGACGCTGGTGGCACTTGCTGTATGCAGGGGCCTTTCAAGCAGGTGGCTTGTGAGAGACCACATGGATTTTTAAGACACAGCCCACAGAACGCTGATTTGGGGGAGGAACACGCAAACTCCCGGCCTTACCTTGGCAGTGAGGAAAATGTTAAAGTGCTCATTGAAGGAGAGCACGGGGTGATCTGTGATTCTTTTCAAGAATTTATCCAAAGCTTTTCTTCTGGTCTCCACAAACTCTTCGGAAAACCGGTCCACAACACCTTTCACCACGAATTTCTCTGGAAGAGGCTGTGCAGACAGTAAGAGAAATAAGTGTCCGGTACTTCGTGCAATGCTCAAGGAACAACAACAGGCCAGCAAGTCACTCCTATCAGCCATGTGTCCCAATCAGTATTTCTGAATAGGTCGGACCTTTACATAATCTCCAGTATAAAGAGAGAAGGTGTAAATCACAATTACCCTGGTAATGTTATAATGCAGGAAACAGAGTATTATAACAGTCCTGAAATACAGAACAGCTACCTTGTAGACATTTAGCCAATAAACTCAATAGGATTATTACTCTTTGTAGTTGTTACATAATGTCGTGTCAACTTGATAAATAAGTGTAGGCATGGAGTCTAGCCTGTCAATCAGGTCACAGCCTGATGATGCCTCCTTGTGGGCGTGGCCGTTCTCATTAGGATTCTGGGAGCTTCCTCTCTCTTCCTCCCTGGAGGTGGGACACACTTTCTCCCTGCTTCACTTTCCTGTTGATAAGCCACATGAAGCCATGCTGATGGCAGCCTGAGCCCTGGAAATGTGTCTACTGCCACTGGATCCAGAAGATTTTGTACCCACCTGTGATCTTCCTACATCTGGCATCACTGGGTGTGGCTGTGTGAGTCGTGAGTCTGAAGTTTGATTTATGGAATAATATGGGCTAATATCGGACTTATGGACTTGATCTGGACTGGGCTGGGTGTTTTCTTAATATACAATTACTCTTTGATATATAGCTCTTTCTTATACATTTATGAATGTCCCTGGAATTGTTTCTCTAGTCTACCTGGACGAACATACTCATATGCTTGAATTCAAAGTTAGAGCAAAATGTGGGGGGGAAAGTCTAACAAAATGGAAAAAGGTAGATAACATCAACAACATGAAAATGGGTTTAGGATTTAGGTTCTACATTCGATTAAAGGAGTAACCACCAAGTGGGAAAATAAGAACATAAGCTAAACCAGTGGTTAAAAAATAAATAAATACTCCCTCAAAAGCCACTAAGAGAGGGCCTGGTATGGGCCATTTTGACTCAGACAATCATACAGTCTACTATGCCAGGAAGGACAAATGGAAGAGGAGTGATGTTACATTCATAGTCTAAAAGAACATTTCAAGATCTAGCCATCTCAAAAGACAACACGGTTAATTACAGAATGATAGCTACAGATCTACAAGGAAGAACAGTTAATACAATGATTCGAATTTATGCACCAATCACTAATGCCAAAGATAAAAGCCCTGTCTTCCATAGCACACTCTACTTGTACTGTGCTGCCGCCGATACCACTACTTTTCAGCTGGGTCCAATAATTAGTTGCACTGGCCACACACACGCACAGACAACGCTTGAAATTATGGGTTCACTAGGGAAGTTAACTGGTTACACGTCAGGTGAGAAGGTAGTTAAGGCTACTGTTGTCCAGTCAGGGGAGTCCCTTCTCTGCTGTGCCCTCAGGAAGGCCTCTCTCTGGCTCTCAGCCTCTTGTCCTGGTCTCTGCTTTGGTTGGGCACTGTTACTAAACTCTTTTAGGGCCACTAATAAATGTCTGAAGGGCACACCATTCCACGACAAGACTCAACCCTCAACTTGAAGGCGCTTAGCTCCATAGGTCAGCAAACCCAGCTCCCCCCATTTAAGTACCCAGAGGCACCCCCACTCCATACACTCGCCTCATGCCCTGCAGCACTTGGTTTTCCGTGCTCTGTGGACTGGAGAGACCGCTGCCCTCCTCCTCTGGCACCTGCTTTTGCAGTTGGTGCCCCTCCGCTGTCGAAGCGGTCTCCTGGAACAAGGAGGTGCAGCGTGTAGGGCTCTCAGAGGACTAAGGATGGGCTCTCCTTTTGCTGGTAGTAGGGTTCACCCCCTCGAGCTTCTGAGTCAGCTCATTTTATACCCAGCAGGATGGTACTCACAAGAAATCCTTTTACAAGCACTCGCGGTGGAATCCTATTAGTGTTTCCCCACCGTCTCTTACACAGGCTCATCAAGAAAGGGTTGTGCAGGGGCAGTTATCACGGCTATGTCTAGAAGAGCCATGGTAAATAAATCACTGCATTTGCATAAAGGAATTGACTACTTTTGCCCATTGTGGAGTATGGAACAGATTAATAATTGCATCGATAATTTACTGGCAGTTGGAGTGAGAAAAATTAAAACGAAGATGAAGGATCAGCTCTTTCCCATCGCGGCCTGAGGGGATCTGCCAAAATGGTTCACTACTCACTTGACTCAGAAAACACAAAATCATGCAATTCAAGAGAGCCAAATCTTCAGGTCCATTTTAAGAACACCCGTAAAACTGCCCAGCCCTTGAAGGGTACGCATACCCGGAAACCACCTAATATTTGCAAGATGTCACTGTGCACAAGCAGTGTGTGCCCTTCCAACATTACTATGGTGGAGTTGGTAGGTGTGCCCAGACCAAGCAGTGGGGTTGGACCCAGGGTCGGTAGCCCCCAGAGAGTGCTGAATGTTTGCTGCACATGGTTAAAAATGCAGAGAGTACTGCTGAACTGAAGGGTTTTGATGTGGATTCTCTGGTCATTGAGCACATCCAGGTGAACAAGGCCCCCAAGATGCGATGCTGAATGTGCAGCGTTCATGGTCCGATCAATCCACACGTGAGCTCCCCCTGCCACACTGAGATGATCCTGCTGATATGGAACAAACGGTTCCTAAACCTGAAAAGAAGGCTGCAAAGAAGTAAAAGATCTCCCAGAAGAAACTGAAGAAGTAGGAACTTATGGCTCTGGAGAAAATTACGTTTAAAATAAAAGTTAAAAAGGAAAAGGAAGGATCAACATTTAGAATGTGATAGAACAGCTTTGGTGATAGAAATGACCCCAAAGATTGCACAATAGACTTCTGTGAGAACAATGAGGCATTCGTTGCAAATGCTTTTCTTTTTAAACAACAAAACAGCAACTACATTGGTAGACCTTAACCAGATGGATACAAAGGAATCCAATTGACTACAGCTGTGGACAGACCATAGATTGTTAACATGCAAGTTCAGGCTGAAGCTGAAGAAAATGAAAACAAGTCCCGAGAGCCAGTGTCCTTGAGTTATCCCCACTGAAGTTAGAGGTCATCTCAAGAACAGATTTGACACAATGATCAACAAAGACCGAGAAGCAGGTGAGTTTGGGATGTGGCATATCATCTGTGTGGGATAATATCAAGGACGTTACATACCAACTAAGTACAAGATCATTAAAAAGGCAATAAAGACCCCCACATCCACTGGGGGCATAGTCATGAAGGTCAGCAAACAGACTTGGAATTATGCATATTTCTTCTCTCTCTCTCTCGTTCCCTTCTCTTTTTCTGTTTCATATCTTTTGCTTTCTTTTTGCTTGGTCTATGTCACAGGTGGTGTGCCCCCTTATATAGGACAGGCACGGGGAGCAAGCCCAGGGACAAATCAGCGGGACCAACAGTCCGGGGGAGACTTGGGGGCGGGAAGGGGAAGGGTGCGGTGAGCAGGCAGCACCATAGACAGGAACACTAAGGGATTAGTCAACAACAAAGAGACGACAGAGATCCTGGGGGTATCAGAGCAACAGCAAACTAGCGAAGAGGAAGAATTAGGGGGAAAGTGATGTAGAGCAGGAGGAAGGTAAAAGCAAACAGAGGAACGGCCTAGGAAGCAAAGCAATGGATGGAGGTATAAGCATCGGTGTGCACATATATAAATACATTAATCCACAAAAATAGAGGCACTGGCCTATGTACATATCTTTATTTGGCAATACACTGTGGTAGTGGTCGGACTTCAAGCCTCTGCTCATATGCTCCCTCAATACGAGAACACTTTGTTCTAACAAATTGGCAATCTGATATGCTCACCCTCCCGACACAGTCACTGAAGACAAAACAGGTGCATAAGCAAATGTGGTGAAGAAGGTGGATGGTGCCCGGCTATTAAAAGATACAGCATCTGGGGTCTTAAAGGCTTGAAGTTAAACAAGCGGCCATGCAGCAGAGAAGCAACAAGTCCACGTGGAAGAAGCACACTAACCGGTGTGTTCATGAAGAAATATGCATAATTCACTGGGACCAAGTAACAGGAATCAGAAGGCACATAACAAACAAACAAAAACCTATTGTTGAGAACGAGGGGGGTTGGAGCAGAGACCCAAAGCCCATCTGTAGACAATGGAACATCCCCCCACAGAGGGGCCACAGAGAAGGGATGAGTCAATCACAGTGCAGTACAGCATTGATGAAACACACAATATTCCTCTGATTCCTTGAGGCTTCCTCACCCCCCACTACCATGACCCCAGTGCTGCTTCTCAATTCAGACTAGACTGGAACATGTACACAGATGTATAGATAAGAGATGGGGGTTCATGACACACAAAATTCAGGAACAGGAGTGGGAAAAACGATACCAGAAGGATAGGGGGAAGTGGGGGAGAGGATGGGGAAAAGGGGAAATTGATCAAAATGATCGACACATAACCATAAACCGCTCTCCATGGGCAAGAACAACAGAAAACATGGGGGCATAGAGACAGCAGTCGATGTGAGAGACGAAAATAATAATAATAATTTTGTATGATCCCCTGATAAAATGATTAAAATAAATAATAATAATAATTTATAATCTATCAAGGGGTTATGGGGGGGAGCTGATACTAAGGGCTCAATAGAAAGTAAATGTCTAGAAAAGAATGAAGACAACCTATGTGCACACATGCCTGATGCAATCAATGTATGGATTGTAACGAGAGTTGTAAGAGTCCCCAATAAAATGATCTTTTAATTAAAAACAACAAAAAAGAAAAAGATCAAAATATGTCAGGAGACTGAAACTTGCGAAGCACAAGAAAGAAAGAAATGATGAAGTAAAAGGACTGAAGAATTCCAGGGCTGCTCAAGAAGACAACATGAAGTACTGACTACAAGGTGGAAAGGCCTGGCATTGGAAGACCTGAAGGCAATCCTCAGCCGCAAGCTGCCCTTCTGAAGGATCCCAAGGGCAACATACGGAAACACACCGAAGAACAAAAGA